ACTACACAGCCACCCACACAGTGCTGTCCACGATGTAGGAACATCGAACGGCACGACCCTTCCGGGCCGGCATCATACAGTGACATCCCCGATGTCACTACATATCTATTGCACGTGTACATATACAGCCCTTTGTCAATCCACTGCTGAATTAGGGCCTCTTCATGCTGTGCGGGTCGTGGGGGTTGTTTGACCATACTTCACCACACTAGTGAATGCTTGTTGGTGAAGGCAGAATGCACAGTTATGTGTGCATAGAAGTACAATACAACAAATATTTTTTTCTGCTCTGTCTTATATACTGCATATATGGGAGTGGGAAAATATATATGATACCGTATATATAACAAACAAAACATAATCTGCTAAAAAGGACACTTAACAACAAAAAGCTCTTTAAATTGTCTCCCGAAATGGAATAAAATCAGAGTATAATCAAGGAGGAAGCGTTTTTGACCGAACATAGAAGCAATCATTGACAGATTAATTTTTTAATATTCCAGCAAGTCCTCTTGAGGTGCAATGAATTTAGTCTTTTGATGTTGCAAGAAATAACTCTTTTGTCTCATTTCTATTCAGTCTTCTGTTACATGAACTGTGTTGGCTTCACGTTAGCACCGGGCCAGGTCACTGGGAGCCTGCGATCCCATGGTAACCTGCTCTAGCTGAACCTACTCTAGCTGAACCAATGCCGTTACATTCCAGAAACAGGCCCCTGAGCTCCCTTCTTGACCAGAACTACACTCTAACACTCCTTGGCTCAGGCTGAGATGGCCTAAGAAATATTCATGATGCCACGTGACCAACGTGAATGCATGTCACTAGTCCTTCAGATTTTTGCTGTTAATAAAACGTGCATTTGAAAGTGATGCCGACTTTATTGAGGGCGATATTGCCACGTAATATAAGGATTTAAAGTCCAACCGTCAAATAAATGTAATTGTCATCCGTAATGTCATTACTTTGTTTATTTTTTTCCCCAGTTGTAGAATTTTTATTATTCTCATACCACGCACATCTCCACAAAGACTCTTGCGTGGTTAAATATCTGTACGCCACTTCTTAACCATGGAATATTAATACATGGTCTCCCTACACTGTATTGATCATAGAAGTTGTTTGACCATACTTCCAAATATTAATAGAGCCCAAAATCGTGAAAATCTATTAGAAAACTGCTTGCCCATTAATTGATTATTTTAGATTACGTAAATTACTACACATGCACATGATATGCGAGATATGTGCACATTTTTTCATGTTTAGATTGATATGAACCAGGGAAACAATGTGCTGACGAATAACGAGATGGACAAAACAGGAAAAAAATCGTTGCAGACCAATGAAAGCCGAATACTCACAGTTGAGATGAGACTACAAAGACAGTAGAAGAGAGACTAAAGTACAAGAAAGACAGTAAACCACTCGAGACAGTATACAAAAGACAGTAAAAAAGACGGTGCGTACAAAAGAAAAAACACAGCTTGGATGAAAGATTTAAGAAATTAATCACCACCCCTTGTTGATGCAATGCATCAAATCACCAGGTGATCAAATCACATCATTGCGGCCCTAATTTCGCAGAAAAGCCTGGTAACAGGTCAGCATGAATTTTTTTTGCCAGATTATTTTCTTCTTTTGAATGTATATGACATTTGACCTTATATATATATTTTTTTAATTGGGAAACTCACAAATACAAATATTGAGCACACTTAAAATGACAGAGTTAATATATTTATCTATGCAATGTGTTTACCCTGACACCCACCGCCTGGTTGTGGAACTACTGCTCATATGTGTGTAGTGTAATAGCGCCGGCTGGTGGACAGCAGCGCCAACTGTGGTGGACAGACAGCACACATGCCAGTAAGGGCGTGCACGGGGTGTAGGCAGAGAGAGGAACTAGGGCAAGGGTCACGGAGGAGCCCATCTGGAGGCCCCTGGAACCTGCTAGTGGGTTCGAGAAGGGAGGCGTGGTCAGGGCGGAGCCAGGCCTAGCTGGTAGCATAAAAGTAGCTGAGAGCGGGAGCTCGAGGCTGCCGATTCTGGGAGTGGACTCGTCTCGTCGTTGCTGTCGTCTCGTCGCCGTCGTCGCTACCGTCTCTGCTAGATATTGCACTATGAAGCATAGTAGTTGGCTATCTCAGTCAGGACATGTCAGTGTTAAACGGCTAGTGTTGTGTACAGGCTAGGCTAAGCTACTGTGGAGAGTTTGTGGACGAGACCATGGAAGTTGTTAATAAAGAAGGTGTCTCCTATAAACTCTGTCTCCGAATCATTGGCACTACATATGTCATGCCACTGATTTTTGTTTATTCCCTCTGTAAAAAAAAAATGTGTGGAAGGTTTTGTATACAGCTGATAATGCATTCCAGCAGCCTCCTAAAATATGTCGATTGTGTCAAAAAAATAATGATATTCAGCCACAACATAACTATCCTGATTTCTGTTTTTCCATTAAAACTTTGTTTGACTCTTACATTTTCAACTATGTCTCTCCTTACCGATATTTATTTTTCAAATCAATAATTGTGCTCCAACACCTAAATGTTGTGCAATCTGCCTGTTGCGGCGCTGAAAACAGAACAGAGCTAATTGAAAGTTAGACACATTAAAGGTGTACTGCACTCTCGCGTGATTAAAATTAGCGAGCCTGTCATTGGAGATGGCATGACTTTATGCCGTCATTGCCGCGGCAAGGTCTAGTGCATAAACTGTATGCTAAAAGCAGTCCCTCAAATGCTGCAAGCTGGGTCGAAACTGCCATTAAGCTGCCTGTTTGTGCATTCAGCCGGTTGCATTACTCAATGGCACAACATTAATCATATAAGGGGGTTGCAGATGAAATAAAACAAAACTTTACTTGGGAAAATTAAATGGTTGGGATGGATGGGGCGATGTTGTTTGGGAAGAAAAAAAAACGATTTGGTCTTTGGGTAAAAAAAAAAGATTCACTTTACATACTCAAAGAGCTGAAACACGCAGCGATGAAACATATCTGCCATTTCACCGGGCTTGATGTGCTTCAAAATTTAACAATGTGTAATTATAATGTGAAAAAACAATGCTATCAATATTTATGGAATATAATATGTGAGATGGTGTCTCCCACACTGGTTCTCTCCCCTGTTGGTCGTCTCAGTAAATTTGAATGCATCTGCCACTGGGTAGGCAGCTCCCAACAGCACAGATAAAGCTCGTTCTTACATTTAACTTATGCGACTGCCTCTACCCAGAAAATATAAAGTGATCAATTAAATGAATCAACAGGTGGAATAACAGCAGGTTGAATAACAGCTATTATTAATAATAAACAGGAGATGGATAACTGGATATCTGATTATTTTTTAAGTTTAATTATTATGTTTTGAAGCTTTTGTAATTAAGGTTTACATGTATTGTTATGTCGTTAAACTTTTATGAGTTTTGTCTATTACACTTTAGATTATGTTACATTGTTATGTAACTGCCTTTTACTTTAAATGAACTGTTACCTAAACTGTTTACTCCCCGTGATTGATTGGCCTATCTTTTTTCATTATTTTGATCCCAATGATCTTTGTGAACAGTGTATAAGAAGCACAATGCATATTTAGTTCTTCAAGTAATTTTTTTTATCGTGGGAGATGTGGTGGCTTGGGGAGGATTTAATCCAACAGTGGATTGAACATGGCTACTCGTGATTATTTGCCTTAACGGAGGTTTGCTTTGAAAATAAATAACTGTGGTCTCACCTGCCTTCAAAACGAGGAATAATATAAAAAATAAAATAGTTAATTAATCCAAAAAGTTGTACCTAATATGGAATATGACCCGAGCAATGAGGTCAACTATGTTTTGCTGGATGATAAAAAAAGTAATACTGAGGTATGAAAGAAATACTGAGCAAATAAAAATTGTTAATTTTAACTAAATATAATTAATGACATGACCTAAAGACCAGCATTGTGATTATCTAAAAGAGTTTGCAGATCGCTCATTACAGCTGGATAATCGCCATGCGCCGTATGTGCGCCTGCTCGCAGAGAGCCAACGCAGCTACTATATTCTCTGTGGCGAAGAGCAATGTTCATTTAAGGTCTCTCGTGAAAATCCCCACTTTCTCATGGAGTAAGCTCATCAATAATCCAGTGTTCGTATGTCACTGCGTAATGCCTGACCCCGGGCATTGGGCACAGCTGGTTTTGTTCCATTGCATTTTACACCGTAATAACTACACGGCTCATACTTTATAAGAAGATATACCTTTATAATACTGTACACTGCTGCTGTTGCTACTTGGTGAAACTTTAGAATTTCGACTCGTGGCTTGAGAATTTACTGCACAATAAAACATTCTACAACAGACCACTTGCAAGCCGCTAGCAGTGACATTGCAAAGGAAAATTGAACAGGGGTCTCTATTTCACTCTTTGCACCAGGACCCATGCCAAATAAGGCATGAGCAGGCACCTCAATGGCAATAATAACCTATTTTGCATGAGTAACCTGATTGGATTCAGTGACAAATGCAACTTTTCAACGTAACGCATATTTTCATATTAGACTCAAAGAACACATATTATACTTGTTTCACACACAAAACATAAAACCATTACCACATTTAAAACCATTATCACATTTAAATTACTGCAAGGTACAATTTAGTGGATACCCAAGGAAGACTTGGATTCAGAACATCATAGAATGACCGGGCTTATACCACAATTAGCTAATGTGTGAGACTGATTAATGGCAATCTGGAGGGAGATTACGACCAGAGCTTCTAAAACTGTGCCACAACTACCTCATCGTTGGAGTTGCTCTGGGAGGTGGACGGAATTACCATGGACATATTGGAATAGCAATGTGTTGGTCTGCATAAGTGAATTGTGTGGACTTCTTCGACAAAGTTTGACGCGACTTAAAATAACAAAGACTAGCAGGCAAGAGGGCCTGCGATATTCGAGAACTCTGAACTGCAGAAGGAACTGGGCCCCATTTGCACCCGGGCTTACTTCTCTGGTGACTGAAGCCCCCCCAGGGGTCCCTCGCTGCCCGGCAGGATTGTAGAAATCCCTCCGCCCACCGTGTGCACGTCCATCGAGAGGTTGTTGATGCCACAGGAATGCTGACCCAAATGGTTTTTCACTCCATGGTTTGCGGAGTCTGCATGTGGAGTTGTGTGTGTCCGTTTGTGAGGGAGTGGGAGTGCAGCACGGGGTGAGTGGTGGGTGAGAAGGAACGGATAAGCGACATTATTACTATGCAGCAGGCATACACCCGTGGTAGCGTCATTGAGAGATCGTGTCAGCATACACAGCTTTCTGACATTGACACGGAGCAATGAACCATTAGTATCTTTACATCCATGAACAAAACAAATCCCTTGCAAAGTCCTCTTCACATTATCTTCCATGCGAGACAATATATTTGTTATATATGTGAATTCTATCATTATTGCTGTGTGCATTTTTATTAATATTTCAACATTGTTTTTTTATTAATATATCGGGTTGTAGAATACAGTATTACAATATTTCAACTGCCAACGGAAGATGCAATACGCAGTAATTGTGATTTTGAATGTACAAATTATTTTGGTGCTTCAATGACAAATGAGAAAAAAGAATTGGGAAGGTGATACTAATTTATTAGGGAAATGCCAGGACCAAAACAGAGAAGGGCAACAAGACATCAGCAACTGAAAAGCCATCTCGAGATGGGATTGAAAAGATGGTAAGCGAGTTAAGGGCTGAAGTTGCAGAGATCAGGAGGAGGTGGCAGAATTATGTCACCCCAGACACCAAGCGAGGACACTGGAAACAACCAGTCCAAGACAGAGCAATGCGACCAAGAGGCTGTAGGATGTGCCAAGAGGCTGGAGCAGGTGGTACATGTAACCATTGTTTCAAATGTGGCCAGCCGGGACACCTGACCCGTGGATGTCGAGCCTCTCGACAGCAGCAGGGAAACTGGCGAGGGTTGCTGCATAGGGACCAGCAGTAACCTACACACTAGGGTCCCAAGGGTGTCAGTACTGTTTATGTGAAGATAATGATGTTGTAAGACTGCAGAAGTGCCAGGGTTGTTACGCAGTACACTACTGCTCGAATACCTGCCAAAATCAACACTGGCAAGAACACAAGTTTATCTGCTGAGCAATCAACACATTACAGAAGGAAACAGAATGTCAAAAGACACCAGAGTGGAGGAACCCAAATATTGGCAAGGTTAGCTTTCTTAGGCCGAAATGCAACAACAGACTGTTAAAGTTAATTGGGAAAAGATGCATGGGGAAGTGTTTACTGGACCACGTATCAACCTCTGCCCTTTGGGACACAGGAGCCAGTGTTATAAATGAAGCATGGCGAAATAAGCATCTACCTAAGTCAATAGTGAGACCAGTTGAAGAATTCTTGGGGACTGGTACAATTACTGGAATGGCAGTTAACCAAACAGAAATACCATTCACAGGCTGGATAGAGGTGGCATTCAGTTTGAACAGTAATATGGGGACCAGTTAGTGCTTTCTCATTCCAATGCTGGTATCCAGTGATCCCAGGGTTGCAGAAGATCCTATTATTGGTTTTAATGTCATCGAGGTCATCAATGGGCTGGTGGAAGGAGGAGAGACAATTGCGGACCCCATTAAAGTGGGGATTGTGGGTGAGGCTTTCTCCATCACTCCAGGAGACACAAACGTCCAAATCTATCTGTTGTCTTCTGGCAACCGGGACAGTGATGGTGGGGCAGTCAAGACAGGCAAACAAAGAGTTGTGCTACCACCAGCTCAAGCCACAATGGTTCGAAGTCGCGCTCATTTGGGACAGTTGGAGGAAGATGAAGTTATGCTGTTTGTCCCTGAAGAGAAGTCCCAATGGCCAGAGGGTTTACACATCAATGAGGTCCTGGTGACACTGAGTAGCATCCTGCATACCAATCTCAGTGATCAACACAACCAAACACAGCATCACACTTGATCAGTGGGTCACCCTACGACACTTACAGCTGGTGAGATCTGTGTATCCAGCAGCAGTAAGACCTGTGGCGTATCACGAAGGCACCCCTATTCAGGATCAGACATGCCAACAAACACAGGGCGACCACACAACTGGTGGAGCCAAAGCTAAGGGGCTGCAGCTGAGGCCAAAAGTTCAAGAGCAAGGTGAAAAATGGGACTCACTGGTAAAACTGGACCACCTAACAAACGAGCAGAAAATTGCTGCCAAGATCATGCTCAGAGAGGAATGCCATTCTTTTTCTAGGGAGCATACCTTTGTAGTGGGTCCAACGCGAGGAGAGACGGTTCTTTAGAGGCAACACGTTGATTACAACTATGGGTACACAATACAAAGGGGTAACGGCTCCTCACACCCGATACCCTAAGGAGGTAGCCCTCCGGACTAATGTGCCCTCACTCTGGTTATAGCGCTAATCCTACACTGGTTATGTTCTGAAACCGACCCTAGCCAGGGGTTCGGGTTCTGCCCACTGAGCTCTTCTCTTCAGGGTGGCTCTTCAGGTCTTCAGGTCTTCAAGTGGACGAGAACTGCTCCTAGCCACACCTTCCTTCTAGAACTTTCTAGGGGGTCCTGGAACATGACGGCATTCCAACAGCCCCCCCCCCCCCTTGGGGTCCGGGGTCCCTGGTGGCCCAAGGGCCCGACTCATCCCACCTAGCCTGTCTATCATCCCCTGTTGACACATGTCCGCTACTGCAGGTAAGGTTAATGGTGAATATACATACAGCCTAACAATGGCACTACACCTTCATTGAAATGCATATCACCCTCAAGGATAGGACTCCAGTGCAAAAGACATACATTGCAGTCCCAAAACCATTGCATCTGCAAGACTTGATCAATCGCAGCTGGGTGACAATTTCAAGATCATCATATTCTTCACCCATTGTCTGTGTAAGGAAGAAAGATGGAAACATAAGACTATGTTGCAATTACCGACAGCTGAACCGGAAGTCTGTTCCTAACAAGCATCCTATTCCAAGGATCCAAGACATGCTTGACAGTTTGAGTGGGAGTTCTTGGTTTTTGGTTGTACACCAAGGGAAAGCCTACCATCAAGACTTCCTTGGTGAAGAAAGTCGCCCCCTCACAGCTTTTATCACACCATGGGATTATATGAGTGGGTGCGTATTCCCTTTGGTTTGAGTTCAGCACCAGCAGAATTCCAGAGGAGCATGGAGGACTGCCTGTCTGGCCTTCAGGATGAAATCTGTCAGCCCTACCTGGATGACAACCTTGTTCACAGCAAGTCCTTTGAAGATCATGTGCGGCATGTACAAATGGTCTTGTGTCGGTATCAACAGCATGGTGTCAAACTAACAGCGAAAAAATGTGAGTTGTTCCAGAGCAAGGTGCGATACTTAGGCAAAATTGTATCGAAATATGTCTATACTATGGACCCAGCAGAGATTGCCCCAGTTCAAGCTGTTGCATATGTAGGCATTTTTCCATTAATTTATATTAAGAATAATTCTGCCAATATTTTTTTAAAATAATAAATCGATAAAAAATTAAACAAACACCCTCACCCCGCTACCTCCCACAAGCCACACCAAGCATCTGGAGGTCATAAAGAGCCATTAAATAATAAACTCCGGGGCAAAGGAATGTTAACGACGATCTGGGAAACCTCCAGATTGTCAAATGACCATATGACACGGCCTCCCCGGACGTTTTGGACAGTTCACAAACAAATCTCCAGAGCTGTAAAACACAGGCACATAGCAGGGACAATCGGACTTTACAACTGGCGTTTTTTTACGGTAAAAGTTCGAAACTTAGCGGCAAGAATAGATCGACATTATAGACTGCCACATTAAGAACCAGACTGCAGTCTACATTAGTGGCTTTATTATTACTTCCCTTATTTTACTCTTATTCACCGCATATATTGTTTTCTTATTGTATATTTCTATCTATGTGACTTTACCAAGAGAACCAAGGAATATGAATTCCGGCAGTCAAGAAAGCTTAAGTGAAAACTTAGTTATATCTCCAACTACAGGATATCAAAATATAATTCGAGAATAAAGAGCACAGATACCTGGATACAGACAGGGAGCAAAGGTTAATAAACCCCTTGAAATACCAGAGGTAACAACGAATGGTACATTACAAATCTTGGTTAAACATGAACCAAATAATAATCATGAGGTATTAGACCTAGGGTAACTCAAAAGAGATACAAGGAAAATAGGTCAAACACACAAGACCAGATAATATGTATTCCATGGGATCAGAGCCTCCCCCGCCGCCTTTGTCTCCCAACAATGTGACACAACACATGATAGTAATAAATACGTATGAAGGGAGAGTGCCTCCCCTCGAGATAGCAAACACCATGAAGGCAGAGAGGGAGGGGAACCAAACTAAGTATGGAAAGCAGCCAAAGGTCAAAAGGGGGGGGTCGTGGCCACGGGAGGTGAACGAGACAGAGGGCATCTGTTTTTTTTTCCGCAAGAGACGCGCAGAGGGGAGAGAATTTCACATATAAGCAAAGACACAGATCATGAAACTTAGTACTGCGAGGGGCAGGCTCCGGGGCATGGCCTCGAGAAAAACCATGGGTGTCGTGTCTCGCAGAGAAGAGGGGCGAGGTGTTGCTAGGTGCTGAGTTCGGCATGGACCGACAGAGTATCGCTGAATGTTTTATTCTACATTTATCCTGATGTCTTGAGTCGCTTGCAGAGTCAAGGATTGCGATAAGTTGTATTGTACTAAGCTATCCGATTTTTAGTTCTTTCGGTAAAGTCACGTAGAAGGGAACCAAGAATATGAATCCCTGCAGTCACGAAAGCTTTAAAACAAAATTTAAGCTATCAGAGTTGTGTAAGAGTTGTGCGAATACAATTTACAAGTTTTGAGAGTGAGTGGCCCAGCCAGCGACGAGCAGCTTACAGCAGGAGCACTCTTGGAGAAAGGGCGGAGAGCACGGAAGATGAGCAACTACAAGGCGAAGCTCTGAAGGAAGGGTAGGAGAGGCACCACTGAATGCCAGCGCGAAGCTGGCAGCTGCCTGTCAAAGGAGAGAGACTAGAGCAGTGGAAAGAGCCTGAGCCAGCGCAGCCCTGACGTAAGGGCGGAAAGCGCCAAGCATCGACCAAGCGAGCATCACACAGGACCAGCAGCAGAGGACAAGCTGCG